ACAGGATCCATAGGTTTGGCAAAAATTTGTCCCAAATTCTGAATAGGTTTTTGAGCAAATTCAATGTTGTGGCCATTCAAAATTGTCTTGCTGGGTTCCGTAACATCTTGGATGTAGGGAATAACGGCGAAACCAGTCGCTGGTTCCCTCTCACATCAGGAGTGCTACTAGTTGTAACTGGTTTTGGGCAGTTACGGAGAAAAGTTTTGGTATAGCCATTCGCCTTTAGGACTTTAGAAACATGTTTCCTCTCCTCAGCCTTCGAATCGAGTGAAGATGGTTGACAGTCAGCCCTCGCAATATTACAACAAAGCTTTGTCTCTGTTTAATGACATAAGTACGTATGCAGTCTTAAACTCTGATCCTACCAGTAAATTTAAGTGAAAGCTAAAAAAAAATGTTGTTGATTTGAAAAAAGCTTTACTATTATATTACTATACGAACAAAATGTTATACAGTAGTGACAGCTTATATCCACGCTTTTATGGTTTACCAAAAATTCCTAAACTGGGAATTCCATTGAGACCTATTGTCTCTTTTGTAAATTCTCCGACTTATGCAATTTCTGGTTATCCTGCGAGAATTTTGTCGCCTGTTTTGGTAAAACTGATTACACTGAAAATCCCAATTAATCTTGTTGTTAAGGTTGCGAAGGAGAGGCTCAGAGAAGATGCTTCCCTAGAACAAAGAACTTCTTTGCATGTGGAGGATACTATTCATCTGCTGTCTTTTTGCCTCAAAACCACGCAATTTGCATACAACGGTACCTACTATCACAGGTTTTTCAAGTCACTTCACCGGTTAAATCCTTTTTCTGGGGACGATAAGTATACGATGTTATTTCTGCGGTATCCGGAAATGAAGCGGAACGCCTCCTATCGATCTTTAATTCAGGTGAACAGTTTATTCAACTTACCCTTGAGCGTGAAAAGGATAGACATTTGCCCTTTCTTGATTTAAATGTGTACATAGGGGAACAGGGGAATTTAGAGACAAATATCCATCGTAAACCTACCCGCACCGAAAAATACCTCGCTTTCGATTCTCACCACCCTATTTGCCATAAAAAGTCTGTAAAACTTTACTCAGAAGAGGTGACTGTCTACTGTCGACTGTCTACTAACTGTCTACTGGGTATCCAAACGCATCCACGTGATGTGGTAAACAGTTGTCGATTGGTGAAATCGAGTTATGAATTATTAACGAGTCTGAGAAATATTTTTTTTGAAAAATGGCAGCGAAGGTAGGGATGTACTCAGCGACTCACGAAAGCGTTACCGTGCCCATTGACAGAGGTTGGAAAGTACGGACCGCGCTAAGAGTCAATCAGATTGCAGGATTCGTTACCGTGCCCTCTGAGAAAAAAGTAAATATTAAGTTCGGTAAGGAAATAAAAGATTCATCTTGTATAGAGCTTGAGACAAAAGAAAAGGAGACAAGTGACATCTTTCTTTAATGACCGTTAACAGTTATCATTGTTTTGAAAAAAAAAAGAAAAACATGTTCTTCTGTCTGCAGATATTATTGATTCTATCTCTCATGGTGCACTAATACTATATCTCACGAAAGCATGATGTGAAGAGTGGGATTTGTACCAAAATGAAACAACATCTCAACATTGACTTCTCGGTTATGGTGTGGTAAAACAACTAAATATTTATGAAGCTGAGTGTCAAAATGTCTCGAAGGAAGAAAAAAACTGAAATAAATATAGTTTCCAATTCATTTTAAGGAATAAATTAGGGTATAGAGGGCTTTACGAGTTTATTACATTGTTGAATGAGGCTGACATTCATGAATCAGACAGTTATCATTTGAATTAAGCTGAGAACTGATCAGGCTCCACCGGCTTCGATCCTGACTGGCTGTGTGGCTAGTGGCTGGTCTCTTTCCGATCTTAAAATGGTCGGCTTTGTTACACACCCGTTTAGCGGGAACAAGGGATCTTCGATGCAAATAACTTGGTCCCGCTTTCAGACCAAAGGAACCAAAACATTCAAGTAAAATGCGCTTCACATGTGATGTTAATCTAGCACTGAGAAACAGGATAGCTTGATTCTCAAATAACTTGATGGGCATTGCCTTAGGAAAAACATCTCACAGTCTCTTATTGTAATCCTCTATTGATAAGATCCCTTCATCAGTTCATAAGCAGCCTAGTGAGGACTTCCTCGTGGAGGTGCGAATGGGGGTTGAAGGTTCGTGCTCGCGCGGCGAGAAGGATCGAGTGGACTATTCGGAACTAGGAAAGACTAGTGCATGGTAGATATTTCGTACTCGCCCGTTTTTGTGAGGATGAATTGAGAGATTTCGATGTTAAGGATTTGAAAACGCAGCTGAACAAAGTAGATAAATAATAAATTAAGATGGAGCTGTTTGCAGATGACCTAAGAGCCTTTCTGAGAAATGACTCTGAAAAGGTTTGTGGATAAGACCGGAGATTTTCGATCTGCCAGCGATTTTGTATCAATTATGAAAAAACGGAATTGTTTCTTAGGTAGGTCTGTCATAATATTTAACCATTTTAATGAACTTGCTAGAAAAATCAAGGTCAAGAGGCATTTAAAAAATTTGAATGTCTCCCATAAAAAAACCACGGCAGAAGTAAAACTTCGCTGAAATCATTGATTCTAACAGTGGAAAGCTTAAGATGTAAAATAGAGGAATTTAGCCATTTTCATGTAAGATCCAAATTGTTGAAACTTTCATTGTCCCAACATTTATGTATGGCGCTGGGCTAATCAGTTTAGAGAAGCTGTGACTAAGGAAGGCAACAGCTCTTCAGGACCCTCCCCTTCCTTAACTTAAAAGTACTGCGGACTTTCAACTGCCGATTGGCATTTAAAAAAATGAGAGTTTGCAAATATACGATGGCGCTGTTTGTATATCCCATTGTATCACTGAGGTCAAAAGGATTTTGATGAAAGAAACTTGGATTTTCAGGATGTTACTGAAAGTTAAAAAAAAAAATTGGGATATACTTGTGTCACCCGTACAAAACCTGCTAGAATTACTACAGGTAATAATTTTACTTCATTGAGTTAGTTCCGTTAACTCAACTGATTCTTATTTAGTAACGTTACCTGTCCCAGTTCATTATTTAAGTCGTAGTCCATGACATTTCGAAAGGAAACTGATTAGACTGTGTGAAGTAAAGTCGGAGACAAGAAGTATTCGAATTTTCATGAATCCTTCCAAGAATCTGTTGGGGTTTCTTTTTCTTGCAATCTTGGATTTGACAAGTGCAGAAGGTCAGTTTCTAGCTTCGTTTATATGAATGAAAAAAAATATTCATTCGCCATTCAAATTTTTGGTGTTGATGGTCCCTCTTAAATCAGTGGCAAGGTATGTGAAGCATAAACGTTTTAGGCTAGGAATTTTTTCCAAGAAATCTGATTTTCCTTTTTTGAGAAGTCATTTGTCACGTTTGCTTAGCTTTATCTTTTGAGTTCGAGTCCTTATTTCTCATAAATTTCCCACATTTGTCAATTTGTATAGTTCATCTATAATGTTTATGAAAACAGAAAAAAGAGTAAAATGGAAAAAAAAAGTAAAGTAGGTCACTGAGTAAGAAAAGAAAGAAAAACAAAAGTTAGCGATGTTTTAATTTTCCCAGTGCAACCGATATCATTCCTAATAAGTTTTTTTTTTAGTCTCTTTATATCCTCTATCTGCCAAGAGAGGTTGCTGGAGAAACATTCTAATGCCTTAAATAACAATTCTTAAGTTATCATAGCAATCGTTATGGTGGTTCCTAGACCAGTCAGTTTCTCCATGCATGTAGATTTTGATGAATTTTTCTTTTAGTGTTGGGTTTATTGCTTATATCAAAGTATACCAAGAGCAGTAATAGCTAGATTATTGTCTAGCTATGTCAGTACTTAGCTTAGTTGTCAAAACAAAAAATTAAAAACGCATTTATCATGCTACATATTTTTTAGAAAATAAAACGCAGTATAAGTGCATGTGTCTTAATCCATAGAAATTATGTAATTTTTATTGAAGGTGAAATTGCACTACGCCAAATTTGTGGCCATGGAATAAACAAGCCCAAGTCGTGTAGAAATAAATTCACTTCAACTCCTCAACGGCGTACATGACGTAGGTTGAAAGTAAAATTAAAAATAATCACAAAAGTCACACAATATACGATAGATAGAAATAGCAAACAACACGACGGAAAGAGGACTATAAAATGCTTACATTGTTACGGCCACAGAAAGACCAAGATTAATACTGCTATTGCGAAACTGCTGGGGCCAAAAAAGAGTGGAAAGGACGACCGAAAACAGCGGTACGTTACTGAACTACGCCAAGCGCGAAAACGAGAAAACAGGCATATAACTTGCTATGTGATAAATTATGTGAAGTAACAATACGGCGGCAATTAGGTGGCAATAAAATGATGAAAACGTGAAACAATAAGTATAAAAAAATGAAACAATAAGTATAAAAAAATGAAACAATAAGTATAAACGTTTGCTAGGTACAGGGTGAAAAGACTGAACTTCAAACACGCATAGAAAAAAAAACGCATAAAAAATGTCGCACTTAAAACTTACAGAAAGGATGTAAAATTTATTGATGCTAGAATGCTTGCGAGCAACTACATCGAGAGGATTGCTAAATGTTTTAAAAGACTTCTCGCGGGTTTATTTCTTCGTTTTATCGGTCAACCACACAGTCCATAAGGTATCATCTATACCAAGAGAAACCAGACCTTATTGTCTGACTGTTTGGCCGGTGGCTGGTGACTGGTGGCTGGTGGCTGGTACCTTGACAGCAGGTATTTCCACTGTAATTCGATGCTTCGATATTCGGTGGATAGTTTATTGAGTCGATGAAGTTGATCGATTGAGTGAATGATCCTTGGCTAATATCAAAGAATTTTGTCCCACAATACTTTTAATTTAATCCAATGAAAAGTACTTGCAAAAATTTACTAGTTACCGAGACGCGGTTTGAAATTTCATAGCGCGACCCAACCGCAAGAAAATTATCTTACTAGTGCTAAAAAGGCAACTATGGATGCCTTCAGTTTGTAAACAGAGCTAGTAATATGGCCTCATAAGAAAAGCCATAGTGCTTTCTTGACTCACTGCCTTGGATATCCTGAGAAATCATCATTTATGTCCGCCCTTCAGCAGTTCGAGTTTTCAGCACATTTAATAATAAGTTTGGAAACTTTTGGTTTTAACTCTTTGGAATCTAAAGCAGGAAATATTTCATTACTTTCTAATAGAGGAGATTAAAATTAAATGTTTTGTAAGGAAAGGACTGAACGGTGTTTCTTACATTATTTGTGTGCAAGAGACTACGAGGTTTTCAAGTCACGGTGTGTCTCGGTAGTCGAACTAGAGAGCGACTTTCCGTTCTGTATGAACTGTGTTGCATCTAAATTAAGATTCGAGGATTAAAGTGTTTAAAATAGTCCAGTGTCGGCTAAGAGATATTTTATTACAGTTTAAAGGGCATCGTTTCTTAAAAACAGTTGTGTTTATATTTTGTAGATGAAGGATGTGCGAAATTGACGTATGGGAATCAATCTTTTGATGGGACAGTAGAATACTCTCCAATGAATTGGTTTGAGACACCGGCAGTTGTTAAATTTGAAGCAGGTAATGAATTTATCAAATATATATATATATATATACATACACACAATTAAGATATTTCCACCCCGGACGATAAATAATGCCTGTTCGCATGTGTACTAGACCAATCAGAATTAAAATTTAGCAAAAACAAGAAAATATCAACACATATTCTCTTAGCAAAAGACAATGCAACCCAGTCTACTAACAAAATTCGTAAATTCGTTCGATACGTTGCCCTAACTATTTATTTTGAACTCTCTCATCAGTGTGTTCGGGCGAAGAAGCACTTGGGCTAGAGAGCGGTCTCATTACTGATCAACAGATTACCGCTTCATCCTCCTGGGATACTGCACACGGAAAACAGAACGCCCGACTAAACCGCCAAGCCGCCCGAGGTAAAACAAGTGCCTGGTCGGCGGGAAGCAATGATCTCAATCAGTGGCTTCAAATCGATTTTGGACGAAATGTGAAAATTACGAAGCTTGCGACTCAGGGACGTAATGACTACGGCGAACAATGGGTGAAAAGTTATACTCTCGCTTACAGCGCGGATGGCAGCAACGTTTTTCAGACCTATCAAGAGAATGAATTGGATAAGGTGCAGTGTTGTCCTTAATGTTGCAGCTTATGTAGCGAGGGCTGTGAGGAGCTTTGGAATTTTTATGCAATTTTTATTTAGTTTTAATAATGGGGGTCACATTTCATAAGGCATCCGGCTTCTCATTGATTCTCAACCATATGTAAATATAGCTGACGTTTTTCATTCGAATCGTCAACTTTTTGAAATTCAGTGAGGTGGTTAACCAACCTTTATCAACTTTTAAATAAAGCCAAACTTACTGTTTGACTTTCCCGAAGACAAAGTGCAACAGTTTGTTTAGCAATTCTAAATGGCGGTCTTTCCCTGTGCTTCTAGTCGTTCATCAGTAAGTCAGCCAATCTCACTCTCCTCCCTAAAAACAGCTGTGAATGGTTTTGATTGCTGAAATTTGAGGTACTATGGCGCTGGAATCGCCGTGAAACATCATCAACGGTGCATGCATCGATCTTCCTTGAAATTCGCTAAATTTGCCAGCGATTGTCTTTGCGGATGTAATCTGAATTCCTTGTGAAGTCACATGAATTGTTAATTTCGTTTTTCAGGTTTTTACTGGTAATGCAGATCGGAACACCGTGGTTACCCATGTCTTGTTGCAACCCATCACAGCTCGATATGTCCAAATAAAACCAAAATCATGGAATAACCATATTGCTATGAGGGCCGAGTTTTACGGCTGTATTCTCTCAGGTAAGAGACCGGTCATTATT